GTCGTTCCGTTCTGATCTTCGTCAGCCGTTGTTGTGCCACGATACCCCGGCTGCCCGAGGGCGATAAATAGGTTCTGATCGATGACTTTCCGCATTCTCCATCCGGTCCCCAAGAGCCTCTGCCGCCCTTGGTAACCTGAGCGACATAGGCAGTGGTATGCGGAACACCTCTCCACATTCCCAAACCCTCCTACTTTTTCCTCCGGCCTTTGGAACGTAAACGGCGGAATTTTCGTCATGCATGATGTCATTTAAACTAAAGGGAATTTCTAGCACTAGACCAAGTGTATATATGATTCTGAAATTAGAGTAATGCGTAGAGGAGCAACATAAAAAACCCAAGACATCATTAAGACCGTGTTAAAACGGTTAATTAGAAGAAATTTTGAATCAGCTGCAACCGTATTTAACTCACTGTGGCAGGGTAGAAAATAGATCAATTCAACCGTTTGATGATCTCCACACTAGCTTTGACAAGGATATTCAGTTGGTGACATATGTTCATGGTCTGTTAATGATTAGTGTTGCTAATTACGACTATGCAGGATACGTATTCGTTGTTGTTTGTTGTTTATACGTTAATCAACACGTAACAATGCCACGGCGAAGTAAGGAGGCGCGACACCTCAGTAAGTAAAAACATTTTTCAATGTTTTTTAAACAAATTCAAATTTTATTGGGTAGATTGCACAATTTCTAACCATCGCTACCATAGTCATCTTTCTCTGGGCTGACGAACATCGCCATACTACGAGTGGAACATGAGTATGAAATCTCATACCAGCTTTTATCCATCTAGGTTGTGAAAGGTGGCTATTTTCGCTTCATTCAATAATCAGAAAACGGATAGATCCTCAAAGACCAGATTTCAGGTCCAACCACTTCTTGCTTCCAGTGCCTGAAACAGTCATTTTAGCATTGCACGGCTCCATGGAATTTCAGCTAGAGCTGTCTATATTCAAGGGCATGGTTATGAATCTATATCTTTTATGCTTCTTCCACGTTAGTGCTTATTCTCTCTTCGGAATATCTGGCTCATCGCTTCTCGCCAAGTCATAATAAAAGACTTCCGGGATCGTACAGCACGCAACATGGAAGGATATGTCACCCTCTCGATGGTCAGCCGCATAATCAGAGAAGGAAATTTGCTGAAAAGGCATGACAAGGAGGCGTGAATCGTTCGGTCGTTCCTGCGTAACATTTAAACTGATGTATTTGATCGTCATCAACCTTTTCCGATCCACTGCTTGATGCATTATTCTCCCGGTTTTTTCTGTGAATTTCTGTCTTTATAGTTCTTATCAACATTGCTTCAATTAATTTCTCTAGTTGACTCTACCGTCGATCAGAAGGTCTCTTCATTTGCCGTTTACTTTCGCTTGAAATCCAGTCTAATGCATCCTTGATCATGCAACCTCGCCTGCTCCACTTCAACTTCTTTGCTTTTCCAATGACATCGTAGACTCCTGTTTGTGCTTCATCCTATTCCCTCATCTTCTCCTTTCATCTTGTTATTCCCAACATATTGGATTACTCAGTCTGTAGATTTTGAACAGCTTCCATGCTTAGGGTTCATCTTCCACATCCGGAGGTTAGCATTAGGAGCACGCACTGATCGATGTCCTTCCGTTTCAAGCACAAGGGCAATTTCCGGGAGGAGAACATATTCTACTTTTCGAAAGTGCTCCACTGCATTTGCCTTTTCTAAAGATTTCGCCGAATCAGTTCTTCGTGACAGAGATCAGTTGTCTTAAATAAACATATTTTTGCCCGTCTTCTAGCCCAGGTCGTCTGTTGATTTCAACTGGTCATGAAGTGATGTATTTGTTAAACATAGCCTACGCTTTCACCAGCTTCATTTTCAATTCTCTGTGGTGCCGATGTCGTTCGTCTCCTGAATTTTTTTGGAGACCTTGTAAAGATGAGATCGTCGGCAAACCGCAGGAGGTTTGAATATTGACTATTTATTTGATTTAGCTCACGATTTTCTCAATAGTTCGACGTGTCTCGTAGCTAGTTAAAATGAAAGAACAAGTTAAATGCTTTTATTGATCCACTGCTGGCATTGTTACTGGTCACAACACTAGTTTAGCCGGCTCCAGTGACGTCATTGGTATCTGCTTTCCACCTCTCTCGATCATGCGCGATGTGAGCCACCACCAAGTTCAGCCAGTCTTTGTTACTTTGTTTGTATCCGTGCTCTGCCG